GTCTCTAAAGTCCTACGCATTTATCAAATGTGCTAGGGGAGGTGATTGGGGAAAGTCGACAGCTTTTGTGGGAAGGAGACAGATTCTAGATGCTGTGATGTTGTCCAATGAGGTGGTGGATGACATGATTAATAACAAGAAAGAAGACATTTTGTGCAAATTATATATGGAGAAGGTCTATGACCATGTGAACTTGGAGTTTGTTGATTCCATGCTTAGAAGGCTCGATTTTGGCAATAAGTGGAGGAAGTGGATGAAAACATGTATTACCACCATGCCTATTTCTGTGAGGGTAAATGGCAGACCTTCCTTTTTCTTCAAGAAAACTAGAGGCCTGCATTTGGGTGATTCTCTTCCCCCTCTTCTCTTTATTATTGTTTTGGGGACTTTTAGTAGATTGCTAAGGGCAGAGTTCCGTGTTCCAGAAATAGTGCTGTTAGTTACAGCAGCTCGGGTCTAAGACTCTGACTAACAGCGTCTTTTACTATTTTCATAATCATTGGTAAACATTAAATTAAAAAAGACACACACACATTCCGGATGGATGGATAATGAAAAATAAGAAAGTCTTGGGCAGGCTCATCTCTAAGACTTGCAAATCAAAATCAGGCTTTTCTAAAGGAGTTGACAGGAGGGGTCCGGTGCTCGCTTAGTGGCAAAGAGGTTCCCTCTCAAATTTTATATGGGCAGGATTATGAAGAGACGTTCAGCCCTGTTGCTAAGATTACCATGGTTCGTCTCCTTGTTGTCATTGCTGCAGCAATGCTAGAGAGCCAGGGAAGCTAATTTGATCAAAGGAGTAACTGTAGACAGGGGTGGTGTGAGGGTTGAAATATAGTAGGGATTAAAACAAAAGACGAATTATTGTTCCTAGAAATATAATAGGGATATAATTCAATTAGTTTCGCTATAAATCTGTATATTTTTTTGAAATAATGAATCTGTATATTAGTTTCCCTATAAATCAGTATATTATAATGAATAATAAGCATCACTATTATCCAAAGAGCTTCTCCCAAAAAATTTTGGAGGTTGTCTTAGACGAGTCTCACGGTAAGCTGACAAGGCGAAAAAAAGGGAAGAAGGATTTCTCACTAGCAGGCCCTTTGATCAGATCCAGAGCCTGAAACCTTGCAAGTATGCATCCTCAAGCAATAAATAGGTGGCTGATGATGCAAGGAAAGATGCAACCAATAGTGTCTGTGGCTGTGGCAGTATATGTATATTTGTACAATTTGCATATAACAATCAATTCTTTAGCAAAGTAGGTTAAATAAATAAATAAAATTAGGCCCATGCCTGAATATGTCGCTGCTGCACCCTATCCACCTTCAGAAGGTCACACCAATGTTTTTGTTTTCATTAACATGCCGTCTGTTTTGTCCGGCTTTCACTTTTCTCTTATTCTCAGCTTTTCCTCCTTTTCCTTTCATATAAGTACATTCCCTGAATGTCGCCTAACTTGGTTATTTTGGTTCCCTTCCTCCAACATATGTAGCTGTGTTGACATGGTGGCTTTGACGCCTTTTGTAATACCACCTCTGTATCCAGAAACATGCTGTTTTCACCTTGATAAGGTGGAAACAATGTCCATATTAATAAATATCATAATGCTAGAACTTTCAGATACTCATTTCCAGTCTCTTTTATTGCTGTAGGATGGATTGTTCTTTTCTTAGTTTTTTTCATCTTTTGGTTTAAGACTCACTCTCTTCTCAGTGGTCTCTTCAGCCATTTTGCAAAGGGATTGGGCTTTTATCTTGTACTGATTTTCTTTTCTTTTCCTTTTTTTTCTGTGAATTTTGTGGTATTGAGGTTGCTGTTCTAGGATTCCATATCCTCCTTTTTGCGTTATTTTCTTCTATCTTCCTAACAATATTTCTTTTTTGTTTTGGATTAGAAAAGACATCATTATTAAGAATGAGAAGGAGACATTACAAATACAGTGGATAAGATATCCTATTGAAGGGGATACTAATAAACACAAAATAACATAAATAACAAGCAGTGACAAAATGGAACCACAGGTGCTACGTGATTATGATTTCCAATTCCTGTGGAATTT